GGGGAGGGGAACGAGAGAGAGATAGGGAGAGGAGGAGCGCGGGAGGGGAGAGGAGCAGGCTAGGGTTCACCACGGGAGCCGGCCCTTTTATACCCCTGTGAGCAAAATTACGAAAATGCCCTCGGCGGGGCAGCGTAATTACGCGCGGTGGCACGAACGAGACGATAACTATTCATTCCAGCAGTAACTTTTTTTGATCCGACGGACGAGATCGATCGGGAGCGATATCCAACGGTCCAGAACGCGTCAAAAAATCGATCCGACGGCCGAGAGTCGCTGAGCTCTTAGGAAGCTCGGTGGAGGTTTCATCTCTTATTTCTGGATTATAAAGATGCCAGCACGTACAGATATTAAGCAACGCTCACATGTTGCCATTCTGAAAGATCAAACTTAAGCAAAAGAAAAGTTGCATATTGTCTTTGTTTCAGCATATATGTGCAGTGGGATGCCTGAATCATAAAAGTAAGAAATATCTGATGACTGATGACGGTATCCCATCCTTTCCACTATCTAATAAGAGAACGTAATGGTCCAAAGACACACGTCTAAGGCGCTCCATGGATGGAAGAATTGAACTAATGTCAACATGCGCGTAGACAGAAAGCAACAAAGCTGATTAATTCTTTCTATATCAAGCTAACCACGCTAGCTAGATGATTGATTGCCCGCAGGCCGAAAACACACATATATGTCACATAATAATATGTGAAACTTAGGCCTGACTTATATATTAACTCTGCATACTGTAGCACGTCCGTTTGTACGTCTTAACATGTCAGCGCTCCCACACCAGAACCACGCCCTGGCGCTGACGAGCCGGGCCCAGCCGGCAGCGACTCGCTGCGCTCGTCCACTGCCCAGAGGCCGACCCGCACCAAGAAGCCCAACGAGCGCTACACTGGGCCTGAGTGGGCCCAATAGGCCCAACTGCGTCGGTACTTAAGCAACGGCGACGAGAGGATCGGTATCCAGTGGATCAGGAACCTGGCGGCGGCACGAACCCTAGTCCCTAGCTGTTCTTCCCTTCCTTCCCCAATTCGTGTATCTGAGCTTGTAACCAAATCAAAGGACAGTCTACTACCAATAGATCCTTCCACCGCTATCCATGCCCTTACATCTGGTATCAGAGACCACTCCCACCTCCTTCCCCGCGCCGATCTGGCCCAATTTGTAGATACCCGATCCCTCCGCCAAGCGCGTATCCGCCTCATCGCCATGGATCCATCCGTCCAGTCCTTCCAGGAGCATCTGGAGACCACTCTCAAGGAGCACACCGCCGCGATCCACGCCTCCAACTCCAAGATCGACGATCTCGTGGCTTGGCGCCCCGATCTCGAGCGGCGCGTCGCCGATCTGTCCGATGCGATGATGGCACTCCAGCGTGCCCCGCTGCCACCGCCGCCGCCAGAAAGGGCACCCCACCAGGCGCCTTCGTCGAGTCATCCACCGCCTGCGACAACCGGCACCCACATCAGGGCCGCGTCTGGCGCGGCAACAAATCAACAAGGGCCCGAAGGCCACGCCGTCTACAACATCCCACGGGGGCCATCGACGGTGTCCTTCCTGACACCGCCACCGCCCCCAGGAAACGGTCCGTACGACGGCCCCCCTTCACCTCCTGCTCTTTCCCCGTTTGCGCACGCGAGCCAGCTGCTCAGCGGCCTCGGCCAAGCGCACCCCTCCATCCAGTTCCCACAGTTCACGGGTGACAACCCGAAACTATGGAAAACGCTTTGCGAGGAGTACTTCAATATGTTTGCTATTCTGCCTTCGTTTTGGGTGCCCATCGCCGCGCTGAATTTCTCTGGTTCGACGTCCATCTGGTTGCAATCCATTCAGAAGCGGCATAGTGATTTTGACTGGGAGTCGTTTACTGCTCTGTTATGCACCCGTTTTGGCCGTGATCGGCACCAAACACTGATCCGTCAGTTTTATACTATTCGGCAAACAACTACAGTAGCAGATTACATTGAGCAATTTGAATCCAATATCAATCACCTCAGTTCATATTCTGACACCATTCATCCTTTTTACTTTCTCACTCGTTTTGTGGAGGGCCTCCGGAAGGATATTCGAGCAGTGGTGTTGGTCCAAAGGCCACCGGACCTGGACACTGCTTGCGCTCTGGCACTACTTCAGGAGGAGGTGGCCGACGGCGCAGCATCTACCAGCAGGCGCCCACAGGAGACGCCAGCCCGAGCGGGCCTGGCGCTTCCCCTGCCTCCACCAACCGCCCGACCGGAGCCAGCCACAGTGGCCACGACTGATGTGGATCGTCGCGGCACTGACGCCGCGCGAGCCGACACATCCAAAGTCAAAGCTCTTCGGGATTATCGCCGCGCTCGGGGATTATGCTTCAAGTGCGGCGAGCGCTGGGGACCCGAACACGTCTGCCCAAGCACCATCCAATTGCATGTGGTCGAAGGGATGCTTGCTCTTTTGGGAGCCGATTCCATCAGTGACAATGAGGGGGACATCCAGCAAGTCCATGCCATCTCACGGCCAGCTCTTGATGGTGGCGTCTCACCCAAAGCTTTCCAGCTACTAGCCACCATGCAGAATAGAGAGGTGTTGATCTTAGTGGACAGTGGCAGCTCGACTTCTTTCATCAACAAGAGACTAGCTGATCAACTTACAGGTTCAATTCCTCTGCCTCGACCCTCACGGGTTAAGGTAGCTGACGGGGGCGAACTTCTCTGTACAGAGTCCATACCATGCTGTCAGTGGTCGTCGCAAGGACTTGATTTTGTCACTGATATGAAGATCCTACCACTGGGTGTATACGATGCTATCCTTGGCATGGATTGGTTGGAGCAGCACAGTCCGATGTTGACTGGAAGCACAAACATCTCCAGATTCCTACACCAAGAGGATCACTCATGCACATCTGTTTGCTATATCCTATCAACAAGGAGCAGGGGCCCAAGCAAACAGAACCGCCGGAGCTGAAGCAACTGTTGGCTGAATTCGAGGATGTCTTTGGTGAGCCACACGGACTTCCACGTCGACGTGCCTGCGACCACACAATACAATTGATGCCAGGAGCACAACCAGTCAATATCAGAGCCTACCGCCACAAGCCTAAACTGAAGTTGGAGATTGAGCGACAAGTGCAAGAATTGCTACAGTCCGGAGTGATCCAGCGCAGCCAGAGCAGTTTTTCTTCACCGGTCATCCTCGTCAAGAAGAAGGACGGCACGTGGAGAATGTGCATCGACTACCGCCATCTTAATGCGATGACTCGCGTCAGTAAATTCCCGGTGCCTGTCATTGAAGAGTTGCTCGATGAGTTACATGGCGCGCGTTGGTTCTCCAAATTGGACCTCCGCGCAGGGTACCACCAAATCAGACCAGCCGAAGGCGAAGTATTCAAAACAGCCTTTCCAACTCACTCGGGCCACTATGAATTTAAAGTGTTGACCTATGGCTTAGCGGGAGGACCGGGTACCTTTAACGGGGCAATGACGAATAGATGCATCCCCTTCTAAGGTTCTATGTACTGGTGTTCTTCGATGACATCTTAGTGTTCAGTAAAACTTGGGAAGAACACTTGGACCACGTGCGCCAGGTCCTCACCTTGTTGCGTCGCGATCAATGGAAGGTCAAGAAGTCTAAGTGTGAATTTGGACAACAACAACTGTCTTATCTGGGGCACGTCATCAGCTCTCAGGGAGTAGCTACGGATCCAAGTAAGATCCAAGCAGTTGAATCATGGCAAACACCTAGTGATGCAAAAGAAGTGCGCAAATTTCTGGGATTGGCTGGGTATTACCACCGATTCGTGCGAGGATTTGGCATCATTGCCAGCCCCTGTTCAACCTGCTCAAGTAGGGTGCGCCGTTCGTATGGACCGACAACACCAACCAAGCTTTCCTGCTCCTGAAACAACAACTAGCTTCTGCACCAGTGTTGGCACTTACGGATTTCAGTAAACAGTTTACTGTCGAAACAGATGCGTGCGATCGAGGCATTGGGGCAGTCCTACAACAAGAAGGGCATCCTATTGCTTTCATGAGCAAAGGCATGAGCCCGCGTTACCAAGGGCTTTCCACGTATGAAAAAGAGTACCTTGCCATTGTGGTGGCTGTTGACCAATGGCGCCCTTATCTGCAGCACAACGAGTTCATCATCTATACAGATCAGAAGAGCCTCATCCACATGGAAGAGCAACGGCTGACTACCCCATGGCAGCAACGAGCTTTCACAAAGCTACTCGGGCTCCGCTACGTCATCCGTTACAAGAAGGGATCTGAAAACACAGTCGCGGATGCCCTTTCCCGTGCGCATACACCTGATCTGCTGTTTGACATCACCACCTGCCGTCCCAGTTGGCTCGAGGACGTGGCAGCCAGTTATCATAGAAACCCTCAAGCCCAGAAGCTTCTGGAACAATTGGCTATCAAGGAGGATCCAAAACAACGTTTCACTCTGGAGCAAGGGATTCTGCGATTCCGCGGGAGAATTTGGCTCGGGGGCACTACAGCTATGCAGCAGAAGATTATTTCTGCATTCCATGACAGCCCCATGGGCGGGCACAGTGGATTTCCAGCCACCTTTCGGCGGATACGGCGTCTTTTTTCTTGGCCCAAGATGAAGGCGCACATTCTACAGTACGTGCGCTGCTGCTCGGTCTGCCAACAAGCTAAACCGGACAGGTCAGCATCCCCGGGCTTGTTGGAGCCCCTCCCAATTCCTCATCAGGCATGGGACATGATCACCATGGACTTCATAGATGGCCTGCCACAGTCAGGGAAAGTCAATTGCATCTGGGTGATCGTGGATAAGCGCACAAAGTTTGCCCACTTCCTGCCTTTAGCTCATCCGTACACAGCCTCCAAGGTGGCACTTCTCTACATGACAAGCATCTACAAGATTCACGGTTTCCCGCGCTCTATCATCTCAGATCGCGACCCGGTGTTCACCAGCCACTTTTGCCGCGAGCTATTAAAGTACGCGGGCACAGAACTGCGCATGAGCTCCGCTAACCACCCTCAGACGGACAGCCAAACGGAACGGGTGAACCAGTGCCTAGAAACATATCTGCGCTGCTTCATCCATGCATGTCCGAGCCGCTGGAGTCATTGGCTTCCACTAGCACAGTTCTGGTACAACTCCTCGTACCACTCCAGCATTGGGATGTCGCTATTTAAGGCTATGTTTGGTCAGGAACCACGAACTTGGGGCATCTCACCCACTGACGAGTGCCCAGTGCCAGCTCTTCAGTCCTGGCTGGAGGAAAGAGCGGTGATTCAGGACCTCCTACAACAGCATTTGCATCGAGCACAGCAGCATATGAAGTCATAGGCGGACAAACGCCGATCCCCAAGGACCTTCTCTGTGGGCGACCAAGTCTACCTCAAATTACAACTGTATATTCAAACATCGGTGGCCAGAAGAGCAAACCATAAACTGTCCTTCAAATATTATGGGCCATTCCAGGTGATCGCCAAGGTCAACGAAGAAGCTTATAAACTGGAACTTCCATCAGGCTCTCAAGTGCACCCAGTCTTCCATGTGTCTCAACTGCGACACTGCCTTCGCCCGGGTACGAACTCTTCAACTGTACTTCCACAGCTTACTGACATCCCTGCCGTTCCTGTGGCCGTCCTACAGCACCGTTGGCGCAAGAAGAATGGCTCAATGATCGAGCTAGTCCTGATTCGTTGGTCGAATCAAGCTGTTCTCGGCGACACCTGGGAAGACAAGCTCGCATTGCAGGCTCGGTTCCCTGGAGCACAGGCTTGGGGGCAAGCCTCATCCCAAGGAGGAGGGGATGTCAGCGCTCCCACACCAGAACCACGCCCTGGCGCTGACGAGTCGGGCCCAGCCGGCAGCGACTCGCTGCGCTCGTCCACTGCCCAGAGGCCGACCCGCACCAAGAAGCCCAACGAGCGCTACACTGGGCCTGAGTGGGCCCAGTAGGCCCAACTGCGTCGGTACTTAAGCAACGGCGACGAGAGGATCGGTATCCAGTGGATCAGGAACCTGGCGGCGGCACGAACCCTAGTCCCTAGCTGTTCTTCCCTTCCTTCCCCAATTCGTGTATCTGAGCTTGTAACCGAATCAAAGGACAGTCTACTGCCAATAAATCCTTCCACCGCTATCCATACCCTTACGTAACAAGCTGATTAATTTGTTGCTGACCAACAATACATATCGATGCGAAACAGCTTGGTTTAGCTAGATGATTGATTGGCCGCCGATAAAAAAGACACATGCACGTAAACTTGTCTCACACATGAATTAACTCTTTTAGCCATAGCATGTATGTACATGTATGTACGTACTCCTACGGCTAATTGATTTCTAACCAGCCTGAAACACACACGTGGTTGATGTCTAGTGGACTTTCATCTATTATATGCAAGAAAACTAACTATTCTGGGTTTGATGTATCAGCTAGTGGACTCTCATCGAAGGGTAATCTATCAGCTAGTGTTAAAAGGAAGTTTAAGTTTTTGTGTGAGAGACCAGTTGTGACACGTTAGCATGTCAACAAAAAAAAAACCTGAGGTATGGCATGACTCATTGTCGATTAGGACAATGCTATATGTTACGTAAACATTTTTTAAAAAATATATTACACATATCTAATGGTTATATAATTATAATTTTAGAATACCCACCAGATCAAGGGCTAGTAATTTATAATTAACGTAGAATTTTCTAGACTAATTCTATTGCTTCTAATTAACCCATCAAGGGCTATTGCAACGTGATGGAGCAGGTGCACGACACACCGTTAGATGTGAAAGATGCAGCCAAGGCTTCTCAACCCCGCGTGCTCTTTAGGTGTAGAGATATAACGTTGAGCAGTGCCACCCAGCCGGCGATTTTTCAGCAACCGCATGAACGACAGTAGCTAATCACCCTTAGACTAAATTCCTCTGTAAATAAGGAACGTGAGATGCTACATCGTCCACATGCCGTCCGAAAAAACGAGGTGTGTGAAGCTATTTTTTTTTAGCATCAGTACAGACACAGACGCTCATATACACACGCATACACTCACCCCTATGAACGCACACACGCACACCCTACCCCTATGAACACCTCTGAGAGACTGAGCCGGCATATCATCTTGAGATTTACGAAGCCACCGTAGGCGCCTCGTCGTTGACGGGAACGTCTCCTCCCACTGAAAGCGTATTGCTGAAAATCCTGAAATAAATTAAGAAATAATGCGAGCACCAGGATTTGAACCCTGGGAAACTATTCCTTATAACATTTGCCGGATATTACACTCGTCATTTTAAATAAATGGGAAAATAGACGCTCTCCAATACACGGGCCGAGCCAAGCCTGACATTTTGAAGGCAGGCCGCGCCCAATAGCGGAGCGTTACAAAAGCTGCAGGCCGGCCCAATAGCGGAGCTGTATCGTGGTAGCCTGTTGTGCATGCATCCATGGCTGCTGTTGCGTAATCAGTTTCCAACAGAAGAAAGGACTCGATCATAGTTCTCGTAAAAAAGGAGGACTCGATCGTAGTACTAGTAGTATACTGCTGACCGTAAAAATCCTACCCGGCCCGACACACCAAATACAAGGCGATACCACTATAAACACACCGGAAGCATAGACGCACCCGTCGCTTCCCAAAATTCTCCTCCCGATCCAATCTCACGTCGCCAACTACAAACACACATAGCCGGCGATCAACTTGTCTCCCGCGCGCGATTCCTTGATGGCGTCGCATGCCATGTACATCGCCGCGGACGACTTGGTCTACTTCTACCCAGCAGAGCTGCAATCGGGCCAGGCAGAAGACAGCGGCAACAGGGAGAGCTACTACTAGCTAGGACCTGTTCGCTTCCTTTCTTCCAGGAGAAGAAAGAAAGGCGATCTCGCCTCCGCCGCCAGAGCGCCTTACTCCGCCGCCGTCCTCCGGCGGCTCCCCTCCGCCGACGAGCTCAGTCGTCGGTGGTGAGGGGAGTCGCTGGATCCACGCG